CAGCCCTTTCCCTGGCTTCTCTGAGTTTGGGTTATTATTATTTTTGTAACAATCCCAAATCAAATCTGTCTCCAAGGCTGGAGAGGCGGGGGCCATGGGGGTGAGGACAGCAGCAAATGCAATGTTCGCGGAAGGAAGTCGGAGGGATGACAAATATTTGAATGAGGAGCAGGGCTGGTTTGCAGGCGGGGGCTTAACACTGCCCTCCTTCCATTTTCACAGCGGGTCAGCCTCCCAGGTGTCTCCGAGGAACCTGGGTTTGGAAGCAGGAGCTAGTGGTGGCTCTCCCTCTGTTAGCCATGTATTGTGAGCTACAGACAGGGAGACAGGTGTCAGGAGGACACCCATCTTCCATTACATAAGAAAGGGATGAGTAGGAGAGAGTCCTCAAGACGATGTGAACTGAAGATGGCATGCAGCCGCACGGGGATCCAGGGCTTCAACGTGTCCCTCCCAGAGAGAGTAGATTTCCAGAGAGAGGGTGAAGGAAGTGACCCTGTCCATGCATGGCCCCCACATGAATGAAGCCAGGCTCTTTTCACAGAATCGGCCCTTGGGGGCCAGCAGAGCTCAGCTTTCTCTCCTAGCTCCAGCAGTTGTGGAAGAGCACTGCTTGTGGGCTGGACAGCGTCTGCTTCTCCCTCCTCGGAGGGGCCCCTCACTCTTACCCAAGACCCTGGACTGTTGCACGGCAACCGCTCCTCTCATGGCATTGCTCAGCAACTACTCCTCCACCCTGTGTCACCCTGTGCCCTCTCCTGTTCCCTGTGCCATCCCTCAGTCCCTCCTCCCTCAGCAGCCAGGCAGACATGACAACAAAATTACTAAAAGGAGCTTCGCTGCAGTGAGCTGTTTCCTGCCCAAACCGAGGGAATAATGTGAACTCTGTGGACGTGTGTGTGTTTGTGTGTGTAAGTGTGTGTAAGTATGCATGGGTGTGTGTACATGTGTGTTTGTGTGAGCAAGAAGCAAAGGGATCAAAGAAGAGAAGGACCAGGGGTCTTGAGTAGGCGACAGGGCATGGAACATGTGAGGCACGAGGTGGGCTTTGGGAGTGGATGGCTCCTAGTCAGGATTTGTACCTCATCTAGGGGGGCTGCTCCATCCTAGCCATTTCCAAACCACTCTTGATGCCTATCTGAGAGAGGGGGAGTCCCAGAATGTGCTTTGCCCGGCTGTGCATTTTGTCCCTCTGAAACACTACACATTCACCACTCTTCCCTGGACCCTCCCATCTCTGAGCCATGGAGCCAGGGCCACAGCCTCTGCTATGCACCCCTCAAGCCTCTCCCTGGCACTGACTCTGGCTTCCCATCCTCTGTACCCAGTGACTAGAGGACTAGGACCCCATCACAGTTTTTGGTTTACTGTCTTCCTTCTATGGCCAAGCTGGTTGCAGTGGAGATGAGATTGCTCACCCTCTCTATCCTGGCTGGCCTGTCCCTCAGATCCAGGATGCTCTTGGCATCCGTCTCCCTCTCCTCCAGCATGTCCTCCCTCCTCTGACAACAGGTGTGCAAAGTGGGGCAGCTGCAATCCAGCAGGCCTGCCTACTCCTTCAGTTCAGGTAACACTTTTCGTGAATCTTCCAGCTCCTGGTTAGGGTCCTGGGCATCCCAGGCAGCCCCTCACTTAAGCCAGGGATTCTCCTCTTAGAGCAGCAAGGGAGCCCTGGGCCCCAGGCCTGTTCAGGCTCCTCATCTCCCAGCACCCGCTTTTGGGGAAACGACTTTTCCACTTTGAGCTGAATCACTCTGTCCATATTACACAGAAGCCATATTTGTACCGGGCGGGCGGGGTGATGAGAGCCGTTGTGCTGTGTGTGTCTGTCTGTGGGTGGGGGCAGGGGCGGGGGCGGGGGAAGGGAGCAGGGAGGGGATCGTGTATCTTTATAATCTTTCTAACTCTCCTGTGCTAATCTCAGAGGGATCACCCTCAATATATCTGGATTATCTGTGTGATCAGGCTGCCTCCTTTCTGCTATTCTCACCTCTGGCTGGGCTGCATGTAAATAAGGGCTGTCCTCATGTCCCTGGCCCCCGGCACCCAAAGGTACTGCATCCTTGCCATGCCTCTCTCTCAGAGCATCTGTGTGTAGAATCAAGAGAGAGAGAGTGTCTGAGTCATTTGCTTTCAGAACTTGGGGATTTGAAGCTCGTCATCCCATTGCTACTCTGCTACTCTCTGCCCAGCAATGCTGGCCAACACCATGATGGGGGTGAAGACCCCACCAACACCATCTAGGAAAGAGAGCTTCACTAGTTTGTTTTGTTTTGTTTTGTTTTTGCCAAACTCCCTTTTCTAGCTCCTTCCTGTTCAACCTGAAATTTGACCTGGGTACCCATCCTTCTGCACTCCAGTCTGAGGGGATTAATGGGTATCCACCAGCTAAATATGTATCCCGTGTTTCTCCTGGCCAGAGAAATAACAATTCTACCTCCCATCAGAAACGTCTCTTACTGCTAAGGTGACAAGCCAGTGAAGCATTCTCACAGTCTGTATGTCTCACAACAATATGAATAGAGATTACCCAGTGGGCTATAGTCTCACATTAAAGTACGCTGTCCCATGGTCCCTCGGAGCCTATTTCGATGTGTCAGACCATGTGTTCTGCTTGGTGTGAGAGACGCATTCATTGAGTCCATGGGTGGTAAGGCAAATGCCCAATTGCTCCCTGAAGGAGAGTCAAAACACAGTCTTGACAGGCCCCCAAATCTTCTATCCCTCTTATACTGAAGTACCCATACCCCTAGATAGCAGAGCACACACCCAGGCACCACCCAACAGCTAGCACTCAGATAGGGGCATACTGAAACCCAGCTAGGGACACAGATAAACAGGTGCATTTCACCGCTCCTTCTACCACACACAAAAGGCCTCCATTTAAAAGCATATTCTCAGTCTGGATGGAGCCAACAGCAAACGCCATCAGCACACCTTCCCTGCACACCCGGGAACTTCTGAACTCTTTCCTTGGATTTCATTCAAAGGAATAGAGAACAGAGAGATGCCCGGTCACTCCAACTTCCCAGCACCTCTCTCTTATCTCTGTTTCATATGTCACCCCTGGCCCCTCATCCTTCCTTGTTCCTGAAGGATCCTCCCTTGCTGGAAAGCTCACTGACTTTTCCTTGCCATCATTGGGAAAATTCCCCCTTTGTGGCCCTCACCATGTTATTTTCCCGAGGTCATTCTGACCAGCCAAATCCAACAAAACAGGAAGCCCCAGGACAGTACCCTGTGTTAGCCTAAGGTTTAAGTAGGCAGTAGATGTTGGGCAGAGTTTCCTGAGTGTGACCCACACACACATCCTGGCTCTGCCCAGACCCTGAGAGTGTTCATTAGCCCCGGGCACTTATCTTGAGCCACAGCTGCTGACAGAGTCCTGGCCCTGTACTCTGCCTGCCCTGAGCCTGCAGTGCCATGGGGAACTGTCTGCACCCGGTGAGTGTGGGGACCATGCTCCATAACCCTTGCCTCTGTCCCATTGTCCCATTCCTTCTACTTACTTCTCTGGATTTTATGCTCTTCCCTTTTGACTATCCCTTATCCCTGTGTTTCTTGATCTCCATTTCAAAAGTCTTTTCCCTTTCTTTTTTTACCTCAGTTTCCTGTCCCCACCTTATTTGTTCTCTCTCCACCTCTTAGCAAATCCCATGCAGGTTTCTCCTCATTTCCCTACATCCTTCTGTTCTTCTAAGTCTCTGCTCAGCTCTGACCAGACTTCTCTGTGGCTTTGACCATGCTGTGTCCTCAGCTGCCCCTTTCACCATGCCCACTGTTCCCACCTGTAGACAGATCCCCTGTTCTCCAAAAACAAGTGTACCCCAGCCTCTTCACTGATGTGCTAGATGCCCTCCCTCCCTGACTGACTGTCCCTTCTGGGTGTACCCTGTAGGTGGAAACCTCCTTTTCACTAGACGAGAATGGATCTCAGTTTTCTTCGGAGTTTTGGATTTATTCTTATGAAGATAATGCCACCTATGAAGTAATGGATAACTTCAGCATTGGAGCAGCTGCTCCCTGCTACTCCTGTAATCTTCTTGACAGTTCTTCACTGCCCTTCTTCATCCTCACCAGTGTCCTGGGCGTGCTGGCAAGTGGTACCGTCCTCTTCGCAATTCTCAAACCTCTCTCCCACTGGCAGATCTGCCCCAGCTGGCCTATTCTGGCACAGTTGGCAGTAGGCAGCGGCCTCTTCAGCTTTGCCGTGCCTGTCCTAGCACCGGGGTTAAACACTGCCCATAGCACAGGCCTGTGTTTCCTAGGCTACTGGATCTGGTACACGTCAGCTTTCGCCCAGGCTCTGCTGATAGGGTGCTATGCCTGCCTGACCCCCAGACTGGGTATAGGTCAAATCCGTAGCCACACCTTGGGACTCACTGTAGGACTTTGGGGAGCAGCTCTCCTGTTAGGGCTGCCGGTCACCTTGGCCAGTGACGTTTACAATGGTCTCTGCACCCTTGCGTCCAACAAGCACCTGGAAGCTTTGAAGTTCACACATTCTGCAATCTGTTTTACCATCTTCACTGTGTTACCACTGGCTCTTTTGGCAGCCAAGGGGGTGAAGAAGGCATTGAGCAAGGGGCCAGGCCCCTGGGTTAGTGTCCTGTGGATCTGGTTCATTTTCTGGTGGCCTCATGGGATGGTTCTCTTATATGATGCCTTCGTGAGGTCCAAAACAGTGCATCTGCAATCATGTCAATCCCAGAAGATTCTAGATGTGATGCTGAACCTGGCAGAAGCCCTGGCTGTATTGCACTGTGTGGCTACGCCCTTGCTCCTGGCCCTGTTCTGCTACCAGACCACCCGTAGATCCTTGCCTTCTCTGTCCCTCCCTGCAAGACAGTCTTGTCATACGGATGCCTTTGCAGTTAAATCCTAGTTCTTTCCCCACATGTCAACCTAAATTAAAGTCTATACTGCTTTTATGAAGCGGGTGCTCTCTTATTTCATCTGGAGTTAAAGAGAAGGAGAAAGGAGAGCAATGCGTGCCTGACTTTCCTGTTTCTAGAGTTGTCTTGGAAGAAAGAGATGGAGGGTTAACATCCTCAGGGAATACAGATGTTCTCTTGAGGTGAGTGATTACTGTCTTCTTGTGGGAACAGAAAAGAGAAACAATAGCATGAGTGGAGAAGATGAACTCTCCAAACAAGAAGGCAAGGCTTAACAAGCAAAAGAAAGAGAAGCCATTTCAGAGAATAAGTGGAGTAGGCATAGAAACTGGGGGTGAGGGCAGAGGTGAGTGGCAGAGAGAAAGCCCAAAGCAATAGTGCTGCTCTGCCTTCTGACCCATCCAGGTAGGCCTTATCTTCTTTGTCTTCTCTGGCTTTGTTTGGAGGTCAGAGTGGTGGTAAGAAATGAAAGAGGCATGCTCAGGGACATTGGGAAGATTGGGGAGCAGCTATCCTGTTAGGGCTGCAGTAACATTGGCCAATGATGTTACCATAGCCTAGTCTAGGGCATATCCCAAGAGAGTGCAAAATAATGCTTCCTAGGAAATGTCTTTTGCAAGTTAATTCTTCATCATGACCTTAACCCCCCCAACCTTCCCACCTCTCTCTCTATCCTTCTCACTCTTCCTCCCTCCCTCCCTCTCCCTCCCTCCCCATTCTTTCCTCCCTCCCCCCTCTCCTTCTCTCTGCATGCATGTATGCACACTTGAAGGGTTTTCCCTATTACTGTAACCTTGATTCTTCTTTATGCTTGTCTCTCTCTGTGTGTGAATGCATGTGTGCTTGAGTGAATGTGTGTGTTTGTGTGTGTGTGTGTGTGTGTGTGTGTGTGTGTGTGTGTGTTCTTACAGGTTTATTCTTCATCATGACCCTTAATCCCCCCTCTCTCTTTTTCTGTGAATGTGTCTATACATCTGTCTCTCAATCTGTTAGGACCCATAGTATCCATGTTACAACAGATGCATCCAGGCATGCAGTGAAGCGTGTCTCTGCATGAGCTAACATCTCAGTCAGTATCTGCAGTACACATACCCATGTGGGTGAACAAACCTCTTACAGAGTGCCCTTCCTAACTTACTTCTGCACCTCTTCAGGGTGTGAGGGCAGAAATCCTTAGTCAGTAAGTTCATTCACCTTGCTGTTTATATCCAGCATTCCTGTGTGTGGTGTATAGAAGAAAAAGATCAGGAAGGTAGAAATGGTGAAGCAACTGAAAGAGACAGACCCTGATCCAATCCATCTTGTGGCTCGAATTGCCCAAGTTTCTCTTTCAAAGCGCAGCTCTCAAGTGATACCTTTACCCCACACTAGTCTTTTTCTCTTTCTCTTGTCCATCTAGTATCCTAGAGCATCCCCTCACACACACACACACACACACCCACACACACACACACACACACACACACACACACACACACACTTGCCTGCTTCTCTGTCAGTTTCTTGCAACTTGGAAAGGTTGTCTTCATGCCCTGCTTGACTAAGCTTGGTAGTGTTTAGGAGGACAGCAAGCAAGACTCTCTTCATATGGAGCACCCCTGCCGGCCACAGTTTCATCCTCTACCTAGAAAGACCACAAATTGCTCCCTGCAACACACCTTAAGCCCACCCAGAAAAACTTGAGTGGGCACTTCACATCATTCTGAATCTACTTACAGTCTTTCCATACTTTCAAAGATGCTCTCTACTGTCTTCCTCCCTAACATATCTATGGATAATGTTCTGGGTTTAAGGATTGAGAGGGAAGTGCAGGAGAGGGGCGGGGGTGACTTAAAACATCCTAGGCTGGAGGGTGCAGAAGGATCAGGGAATTTTCCTGGGTGGGTGCCTTGACAAAGACTCTAAATCTCCCTCCTCTGGTCTCTTAGCAACCACCAGGTTTAGCTCCTGATTGGTGCATCATAAATTGAAAGGCGGGATTGTGGGACTGACTGAGACGCGGGAGACATTCTGAAACATAAAGGAAGAGAAATTAAATGAGGAAAAAGGAAATAATTTACAATCCTAAATTATGCTCAGGTCTCCAGCCATAGTGCTGATGACTGTGTCCCGGTGTTTTCATTTTCTATTTCCTTTCTAGTTGCATTTTACAGGATACACACACACACACACACACACACACACACACACACACACACAAGAGAGAGAGAGAGAGAGAGAGAGAGAGAGAGAGAGAGAGAGATAGCCCTAGAATCTCCAACTGCTCTTGCAATCATTCCAGATGTTGCTTTCCTCTCTTACAAGGGACTGGATTTAGAGGTTGACCTAATTTAAGGGGCAGTAAGGCAAGTCATCCAATGCTCAGGGGAAACTTGGCCTAACACCACTGGGGTTGTCTGCTCTACCTTGCTCTTATACTCCCAGCTAGATATCCCTCCTAGCTCAGTGGGGTTGAGAAAGTCCTAGTGATAGCCCACAGCTATCTCTTGCAAAGGGATGGCAGAAACAGAAGCCAGCAACTGATAAGAGGTCACAGGGGGTTGGAAACAAGAACACTTAAAGTTATCTCCTCCTCACCCCCTCCTCCACCTTTGCTGTCTTGCTCCAGGCCCTTTGGGACTGCCCTTTCCCTGCCATTATGTGGACTGCAGCTGGCCAGTTCATCCTTATGTCTAACTCTGACCTCAGCCAACTCTAGAAGCTTTCCTTGGGGACCCACTATCCAAACCCATTTAACCCAATGGGTACCACTAACCACTCTAAATTAGGTTGGTACCTGGCACCTTTTGTCCAACCCTTCAGGAATACAAATCCTGTTTCCTTAGAATTTAATCTAAGGGTTGGCAGGGATTTTAGCTGTGTATGAGTTATTGGGCCTCTTGGCTAAAGAAAAAAATTCTCTAAGAAAGATGAGAGTCAGGAAAACAAGCTCTTGGGAATGCATAAAGCCCTGGGGAGGGTCAATTTACATTAAGGGGAGATTTCTTTTTTCTTGAGGAAAGTTTGAACATCACATTGATGCTTATAATTCATTCATTTCTGGCTGAGCCCCACACCCTAGAGGATTTAGGAAACAAATGCATGTTTCCTAAATCCTTTCATCTGCCACCATACCTCTACCCTCCTTCCCTGTCTCCCAACACCTTTCTTCTGCAGCCTCCAAGGAATTCTCACTGAGAACTTCACTGGGATTTCAAACCCAATTCATCGCCAACTCTAATTGCCAGGAATTTGCATGAAAACCATCCTATGCTATCTAATTATTCTGACAACAGCAGTCCTCCGTCTGGGCACGAGGAGAATCGCAGTTTTAATTAACAATAATGCACCTTGCAGATGAACGTGGCTGTTTAGGTTAATTAACAAGTCCAAGTGTCTCCAAATCATCATCTAGACATTTAGGAGATTTGGATGGGAGAGGTATGGAGCATACAGGGGGTGGTGGTATTTCTTTTTAAATCAATTCAGAAAAACATTTGGGTTGGTTTTTATCCCTTCTATAATCATTGGATGAAGGGAAGAGGGAATCTCAAAACAGAACTCCCAGATATCTGGGTTAGGAGGATTTGGGGAGGGCACATTGTTGCAGGAGAACAGGCATCTTGTGCCACTCTTACATTTAGAATATGCTTTCCATACTTCTAAACCCATATCTCTCATTCCTTGTCTAGTTGTTTGCTAATTTGATTCCTGGCATGAGAGGGCCAACTTCCCTCATTGTTTCCACTACTTGCTACTTTGCCTTGTGCTTCTTTAGCACATTTGGGGCACCTAAAGTTGCTTACACCCAAAGACGTCCACACAGTGTCTTAAGTCACTACCGTATCTCCCCCATCAAGAATGATTATTTGCATAAATGTCTTAAATAGTTTTCTGGGTGCTGGAAAAATATATTCCACATAGCTCTAAGTGGCACCCTTTCTCTCTCCAGTATTGCTGATACCATGTGCCTTGTGATCCCCTTGAAATCAAGTCATATTGTGGGAGAGAGAAAAAGCACACATCTTAGAAAGTCTCATGAAAGTCAGAGTCTGTTTCTAAGAACCATACTATCATACCTCAAAGTTGGGATTTAGTTCCCCCACACCGCTCGTATGCTCTTATAGTTCATGGCTATCACAGTGCCCACTGTCTCAACTGCTCTTACAGTTCATAGCTAGCACTGTGTCCACTGTCTCAGAATATCAGTTATTAGTCTGTGACTTGGCTTTTCCTCTTGTCCTTGAAGTTTTAATCCTAATGGCAGTCTCTCAATTCTCTGAATGAGCAAGTCCCTTCTGCATGCCTGTCATATATATATACATATATATATATATATATATATATATATATATATATATATAAGAACTCTCTGTGTGTCTGACATTCCCTAATCCTTTATTTCT